GGGCTTCGGATTCCCCTGGAACTGGAGTTAAGGATGGTTTGTAGCCGCCATGTGGGTGCTAGGAATCGAACCTGGGCCCTCTGCAAGAGCAGTCAGTGCTCTTAACCACTGAACCATCTCTCCAGCCCCGAATGCTTTTTATTTAAAATTTTTTTTACATTTATTTATTTTGTGATATGTGTATATGCCACAGTGCACATGTGGAGGTCAGAGGACAACTTGTGAGAGTTGGTTTTCTTTTTCTACCTTGTCGGTCCTGGGAATTGAATTCTGGTTGTTAGCCTTGGTCATTGGGCTTGGCAGCAAGCACCCCTACCCTCTGAGCCCTGGAATGCTATTTAAAATTCTTCATGAAGTTCCTTCCTGCTTGTTCTTCAAATAACCTCCCCTGGACCTCATGTTCAGGCAGCTTTTCCTGATCATTAGAACCTTGCATATTTGTAGTTAAATATTTTGCTAACAGTATGTACTTTTCTTTTCCGCCCTTTGTAAAATATGTTCATGTGTGATTTTCTTTTTGGAGGAAAAATAACTTCTGTTATTTGATTCAAGACTACATTTCACTTTGCTGCTGTTTTATGTGGCATGAAAGCTGTACATAGTTATTTTGAAAGCTAAGGTTGCTGGGATGTGGCTCTGTGGTGTAGTGCTTGCCTACCATGTGCAAGGCCCGAGGTTAGTCAGCAGCACTGAAGAAAATGTAAGGATTAGTAGAATTGATTTCCATTAGCATAATAAATACCTATAATTTTCCCTTTATCTTCCTTTCCCAAGCTCATCACTGCAGTGGTGATGAAGAACTGGAAAGAGATCGTTGAGTCTTGTGATCTTAAAAATTGGAGAGAGGCTTTAGCTGCAGTTCTGACTTATGCTAAGCCGGATGAATTTTCAGCCCTGTGTGGTAAGAAACAAGCTGTGCATTTAAGTGTATTACAAAGTGGTATGGCATATTGCAAACCTAATCACAAATAACTACAAAATACAAAAGATGGGGATATAGGCCAGTGTTAGGGCACTTACTTAGCATGTTCAAGGCTGTAAATCTGAGTCTCAGTATGGGAGGAGGAGAGGAGGAATATGAAGTACATAATTTAAAAAAATACTGTTTAAGTCGGGTGTGATGGTGTACACCTTGATCCCAGGACTCTAGAGGCTGAGGCAGGCAGATCTCTGTGAGATCTAGGCCAGCCTGGTCTCTGTAGTGAGTTCCAGGCCAGCTGGGGCTACAGGAAGACCCTGTCTCATAGACAGAAGTGGAAAAAAAAAAAAAATAATAATACTGTTTAGTAATTCTGGCTTTGGACAGACCAGAATATGAAACTTGCCCCTGCTATTTAGTAACAATGACTTAGGAAAAATTATTTTTTTAGCTTCTGTTTCTTCATCTCTAAAATGGTACATATGTAGTTCTCAATAAATATTAACTGGTATTAAATTAATAATTATAGTAGCTGAATAAAAAATTATCAGTACAGGCTATGACTAACTTAATTACAAGAATAGCAGCTTAAGTGCTGGCTCTGAACATTAACTGTATTTTTATAAATAATTTATAGATTTAGCCATCATTAATAAATCTTTGCTAGTCTGAGTTTTATGTTCATGTATTCCCATTTATTTTGTGTGTGTGTGTGTGTGTGTGTGTGTGTGTGTGTGTGTAATTGGAGAACAGTTCTGTAGGTAAATGTGGATTTTATGAAGTCACTTATTGTATATGGTGTGTCATCCACTTCCATTTGTTTAAGAAATACTTAGCATTTAGAGTAATTGTGGTTCTCTCTGGTCCTCATCGGTTGTAAACTTTAGTCCACATTCCACACCTCTGAAAATACTATTGAGCTGCTTACAGCCTCATACACAGATTAACTTTGTTATAGTCTTATTTTGTTTTCCTGTTGATTCACAGATCTTTTGGGAGCCAGGCTTGAAAGTGAAGGAGATAGCCTCCTGCAGACCCAGGCATGTCTTTGCTATATTTGTGCAGGGAATGTGGAGAAATTAGTTGCCTGTTGGACAAAAGCTCAAGATAGTAGCAACCCTTTGTCTCTCCAGGTTAGTGTCTTTGAAATAAGAGATGCTTGCATTTTATTATTTTCTCTCATTATACTTATGATTAAGCCATCATCTAGAAATGCCAAAGTTTATTATTTATCCATATTTACTTTAGGGAAGTTTTTTTGCTGGATAATTCTTTGCATTTATTGTTATCTTTAAAGAACAAAGTTTGAGATGATGGGGTTGGAACTATATGTAAGATCAAATTGGATTTTTTGGGACAAGTTGTGGTGTGAGTACTAGAAGTAGCTAGAGATTTTCCTGTTTTCCCTCAAGCTTCTCCCGCCTGTAATTAGCCCCTTGTGCCTTTGCCAAAGAGAGAAGCAGTGTGGGTTGAAAAACAGAAGGCATCCCAGTGCCAAGGAGAACCTTCATGATCAAGGGAAAATTAAAAAGTACGAGATAAAGAGAAAAGGTTTTATTTTGGCTCAAGGTTTGGAAATTCCTAAGACTGGACAGCCTATGGCTTTGGGTCTCTGATACGGGCAGCATATTGTGGCAAGAGTGCATGGTTGAGCCACAGGAAGCAGAAGAGAGACAAGAAGCAATCTGGGTACACAGTCCCTCAAGGGCATGCCTAGGGTCTCTCATTAGGCCCCACCTCTTAAAAGGTTTCACCTCTCAATAGTTCAGCCTTTGGGGAACATTCAGCCCCCAAACTAAGCAAGGCCCTTGGCAGCCACATACCTTTGTTTGTGGGTCTCTGCATAGTAGTGATACTGTTACAGGAAAAATGATGTGATGGCTTTGCTCATCATTCCTCTTCTACTTACTTACCTCTTCTTCTGCTGTTAGATACCTGCCTGTCACTTTTAGTTTGGATAGTTGCCTATCTGAGATTAGTTCTGGAAGATTGAGGGGGTTAAGAGGAGGTAGTTAACCTATACCATCTCTTGAGTTTGAGGCCTTCTTCCTCCTCTCACTCTCAGTTATCCAAACACTTTTCAGCTGTTCCATATTTTTCAAACAGGGACGATAATAGGAAGTGTATTTCTGGTATGTTTGGAAGTCATAGCAAATCCTTAGTTTGCCTGCTTCTTTCATACGTTAGTGTTGATATCTCTCTCTCTTTAACTCTCCCTTATTTTTCTCATTTAGGATCTGATTGAGAAAGTTGTCATTCTCCGAAAAGCTGTACAACGCACCCAAGCCATGGACACGAATACTGTAGGGGCTCTGCTGGCTGAGAAGATGAGTCAGTATGCCAATTTGTTGGCAGCCCAGGGTAGCATTGCCGCAGCCTTGGCATTTCTTCCTGATAACACCAACCAGGTAATTAGGACTGACAGTTTACTTTTTTTTTTTTTTTTTTTTTAAGAGTTAAGATCCCATGTTTTCCAGGCTGGTTTAAAAAGCTCACTCTTTGGTGGGGGTCGGAGGGTGGGAGGATTGAACTTGGGCACCTCTTGCATCTACCTTCTGAGTGCTGTTTTTATAGGTGAGTGCCACTCTGCCTAGCTTGGTCTCATTGCTGTATTAAGTGTAAGACCCCTTAGCTTACAACTAAATCTCAGACTGCTGGATCATCTAACCATGCAATTAAACTCTATTTCTAGGGCCATTTATAATCACATGTAATTTATTTTGTTTGTTTTGAGACAAGGTCTTGTATAGGAGGTCAGTCAGATCTCAAACTATGTAGTAAAGGCTGAACTTGAACTTGAATTCTTGATCCTCTTGCTTCTACTAAAGTACTAGGATTACAAGTGTTTGCAACCTACTTAGATAATCACATATGTTAAAGTTTAACATTAATTTTTTTAGTATGGAGGGTGTCCATGTGCTATATAGTATACATTTGGAGATCAAACGACAGCTTGTGGGAGTCATTCTCCTCTTCTGTCATGTGGGGCCTGGGTCTTCAGGCTTTGTGGCAAGCACCTTAACCTACTGAGCCTTCTCTCTGGCTCTAATCACATGCATTTTCTATATATCATTCTTCATACTTTTCTTTGGACTTGAATGAATATTCTTTTGTGAAAAAAAAACATAATGTTGATATTGCTTTATCCTCTTAATTTTCATAGACCCTGAATTCTTTGGAGAATATGTTCAAAGATTTTGTGATAGCATTGTAATATATAATTATTCCCTCATAAATAAAATGTACCTTAAAACATTTGGGGCTGGGGAGGTGCCTCAACGGGTAAAGTGCTTGTTATTCAAACAGGAATGGAGTATGGATCCCAGTAACCATAGAAAAAGACAGGGAAAATCAGGCACAATGGCATGCAACTGGGGAGGCAGAGACAGAGCATCTTTGGAGCTTTCTGGGCAAGCCAATCAGCGAACTCTAGGTTCAGTGAGAGACTGTCTCAGAAAACTAATGTGGAGAGTGATTGTGGCTTCCATGTGCACAAACATGCATAAACATGAATACAAACAAAAAAGAAATTAAATAACTGCTTTAAATTTAAAATTAACAAGAAACTTGTGTATGTGAATGCCATATGTGTGTAGGTGCCTATGGCAGTCAGACGAGGGTGTCAGATTCCTTGAAATTGGATTATAGGTGGGTGTGAGCTGTCTGATATGGGTACTGGGAACTGATCTTCTGGAAGGAGTAGTACACATTCTTAACTGCTGAACAGTCTCTCCAGTTTTCTGCCTTTAAATTAAAAAAAAAAAACAAAACAAATTTTACTGGGGCTGGAGAATTGGCTCAGGGGCTAAGAGCAGCCACTGAGCCATCTCTCCAGTCACGCCCTCCCTTTTTAAACTTTTAGAAAATTTATAAAACTACATAATTTTAAAGATATTTAAATAAACTTCCCAAAACATTTTAACACGTTGCTTTTTAAATTTTTAATATCTAAATGAATATATAGTGAAAATCAATTTTTATAAATGTATACAATTACAAATCTGTATGAGGTCCAGGTCTGAGCTTAACCTCTTATTTCAAGACTATCCTCTTTTTAAAGGTTAATTTGTGTCAGGCATGGTGGCACATATCTTCAATCCCAGCACTTGGGAGGCAGAGGCAGGCAGATCTTTGTGAGTTCGAGCCAGCCTGCTCTACATAGTAAGTTCCAGGCCAGCTGGGGCTACAGGGAGACCCTGTCTCAATAAGACCAAAAAAACCCAATAATTTGTATCTCTGTTGAATCACCATTTGCAGCAGTTAGTTAATTCTGGTTTTGGAGGTCTTTTAGTTGTAATTTTTTTTTTTTAGTTGTATTTTTTGATTTGCGTTATTAACTACAAAGCATCAAAAAAATGGTGATGTGGCATTGAACTGGTATACTAACCAGGAGGTGGGCATAATTTAAATCCCTGCTTCAGTTAAGTTATAAGATGTACTGTATGTTGGGTCCTTAATTTAGAAACCAAGAGATTGACTCCTCAAGTAACACAGTCTATTGTATAATACACAATATAAGACCTTAAGAGGGATAGCTTCTTTTTTTTTTTGAAACAGGGTCTCACTGTAGCCTCAGCTGGCCTGGAACTCACTGTGTAGACCAGGCTGGCTTTGAACTCACAGACATCCACCTGCCTCTGCCTCCCACATGCTGGGACTATACGCATGCGCCACCACGCCTGGCTAAAAGGGATCTCTTGAATGGTAAGATTACTTTAAGAAAATCAATATGCTATCATAGAGTTGGAGGAATTCTTAACTATTTGTTTTTCAATTGCTTTTTGTAGCCAAATATTGTACAGCTGCGTGACAGACTCTGCAGAGCACAAGGAAAGCCTATACTGGGCCAGGAATCATCTAGAATTCCTTATGAACGGCAGCAGCCATCCAAGGGCAGACCTGGACCAATTGCTGGCCATCCACAGATGTCAAGAGTTCAGACTCAACAATATTATCCCCATGTGAGTGATATGGGTTAGATGAAGTACAAATATTTATGCATTTCTATCCAAATTGACAGTTTTAATGTGTTGGGTAAAGATAAGATCAAGCTAGACAACTTGTTATTTTCCTAATATACTTTGTATATACTTGAGTAGTATTTTATGATCTGCTTTTCAAAATCACCTCTTTAATGCAGTAAGAATATACATCAGGTATAAATTAGTCTTAATCTCTAAGAAGATTGCTTCTTAATTCTGTCTCAGACTTCCCTTACACATGTACATCTGTTCTTTAAACTTCTTTTGGATTCATCCAACAAACTGTGTAGGTATAGTAGTGAGAAAAATTCTTCTAATGATTTGGTTAATTTTAAGCCATTTTTTGAAATTCTTTTTTTTTTACACATTCTTCTCTGTCACTACTGTAGGCTTACTGTGTCTTCTCCATTCACAAAGAGTATCTAGAATATAAACATTTTGGTGGACCAACTCATGTATTAAAGAAAAATGACCAAAGGGTTATGAGTTGCAGGTTGTATGGAATGTGGAAAGGAGTACTAATTTTTATTAATTTAAAATTTTATTTATTATCAAGTACTTGTGGTACAAAATGCAACACCTTATTGTCTTTTACAGTTTCATATAGAAGCTATATTTCCAAACTAGCAGATTTTTTTTTTTGTCTGTTTTGGGACAGGGTTTCCCTTTAGCCCCAGCTGGCCTGAACTCACTTTGTAGACCAGGCTGGCCTTGAACTCACAGAGATCTACCTGCCTCTGCCTCCTGAGTGCTGGGATCAAAGGTGTGTACCTGGCAATCTTTTTTTTTCAAGACAGTCTCACTGTGTAGCTCTGGCTGACCTGGAATTCACTGTGTAGCTGATCTCGAAAATGATCTGCCTGCATCTGCCTCCCAAGTCCTGGGATTAAAAGAGTATACCACCCACTCTGCCCTACTTTCATATTTTTAAATGGAAAGTAATGTTTTCTTTCTCTTTTGGAGACAGGGTCTCCCTGGAGCCCCAGCTGGCCTGAACTTGTTATGGAGGCCAAGCTGGCCTGAATCTCACAGAGATCCTCCTGCCTCTGCCTCCCGAGTACTGGGATTAAAGGAGTGTATCACCATGCCTGGTGAAAGTAATTTTTTTTTTTTTTTGAGTAATAAATGGTCTTGATTGATAGCAAAGTTAACATTTCAAATATAACAAATTGGTGATAAAATTGACAAGATTTTTTTATATTTCATTATAGGAAATATACATCTAAAATCATGAAACACTTTTAAAAAAATCCCACCAATTCATCATCTTTTGTTTGTTGTGGTTTGGATAAGTACTTAATCAGAATAAATTATTATTTGAATATAGCTTTCCCTGGACACTCCATTTTTTTCCCCATTCATTTGACAAATATTTATTGTGAGCCTACTGTGTGCCTTGCATTGTTTTGCTGTTAGAACTGTCCTGGTGAACAAAATACAAAAGATCTCCACCCTCATAGGTATTGATTTATGACATCAATGGGAGAGATCAGATTTTGGCTAGGAAAACTGAGAGACAGAAATACCAGGTGACCTACCTGAGTTTCACATACAGTGGTATAATTTCTCAGTATTGGCTAGCAGCCTAAAGGCTAAGCTAGGATTTGAATTTTCAAGCACCTTGTGCTTAGACCAGGCTATTTCTTAAGGTACTAAGTAAAGCAGGCCAGCTTTGTACTGAGAGAACAGAATACTTTTCATGGCTTTGGGTTTATCTGTCTTTCTGAGAAATGGTAAAAGTCTTTAAAGACCTTGCTGCACATTTCTGGGCATGGTGGCACACCCCTTTAATCCCAGCACTCAGGAGGTAGAGGCAGGCTGTGAGTTTGAAGCCAGCCTGATCTACACAGTGAGTCCCAGCAGCCAGGGCTACATAGTGGGACTCCGTCTCTCCCCCACTCCCAAAAAAATCTTTGTTGCACTTTTACCAATCTCGTATTTTAAGAAAAATAAATAGCTTATACAGTTGCACTCCATTTCAGCCAGCACAGCCTTGCTTTGATTTTATACATGTGCGCATGTGTGTACTGGCATTCCTATAAAGATCTGCATGACAGAAAAGACTTTGGCTTAAAGTGGTTTTTGAGACCACTTGAGATTAAGCAGCATGATATAGTAGAGGAAACACTGACTAGGAATGGGAGACCTGAAATCAGTCCCATCACCAGACATGTCCCTGGGCCTTGGCTTTCTCGTGGTAAAGGGTGAAGACTAGATGGGTAACCTTTGTTCATATTGTTGAACATTAGTCCCTCATGTGGAACTAATAGGATTTTTTGGTGGCTGTAATGAAATCCAGGAAAGGGTATGCATAGAATGCAGATCATTGTAGTGTGAAAGCTATTATTGCTTCAGAAATAATTACACTCATTTTTCCATAGTGTCTTCTTTCTCTACTTAAAGGATCTCTCTTCCCCACGTATTCTTGACACTTGACTGGCATTGTTCTTGTGCCTTGATTTAGGTTTGCATACTGACTTTTTCCTGCCTTCCTCCTGTTCTATTGTGTGGTTTTCTTTTGGAATCTCAGCTATGTTGAAAGCTGCTTTTACTTTTTGCTTTGCATCCTGCTGTTAATACCTTTTGGGTTGTTTGTTTCTTTTAACGTTTTCATTTTTTATTTTCTGTGATTGGTATTTCTTTGTTCAATTCAGGTTAGAATTGCCCCTACTGTCACTACCTGGAGTAACAAAACTCCTACTGCCCTTCCCAGCCATGTACCTGCAGCCTCTCCCTCTGACACACAGGTATATCCTTCATTATTCCCCTTTGAGCAGGATCTGCCTACCTAAACA